ATGACAAAATTCTCTTGACCGTGGATTGTGTGAAAATATGAGAGACATTGAGAAAATTGGGTTTCTTTTGGAAATTCTTTTGGAAAGAATATAAGTATCATGTTTTAGTTGACTATGAATGCAGTGAATTTCAGTCAACCAACACATGCCCCTTAGAGACGAGTCGTTATAGGTCAGTCAGAAAAACTGGACTCCAAATGACATTTGCATTTAATCTGGTCATGGGTAAGAAAGTTTGCTAAATCTAAATAGAGCAATTTGAGGTGCCATTTGTTGAATTCTCTGGCATGTTCCGTTGCAGTGAATTTCCAGAATAACAGAAACAGTTTTTGAGCAAACAAAAGGAACTAAGTAAAGAATCACAGAATTGGGGAGTTAGAAGGAAGCTCGGCAGCTGGGAGGCCAGACCCAGACACAAACAGAATCTATCGTAGTGTACTGGATGAGCGGTCATCCTGCCTCTGCCTGTGACCTCCAAAGAGGGTGTGCTCTCAGCCTCCCATTCCACTTGTGGACAGTTCTGCATGCTGGAATGTCTTCTGGATGTTGAGCCTCAGTTTTTTCTTTTAGCAATTTCCATTAGCAAGTCCTTGTTGTGCACTTTGGGGCCAAACAGGATTCTAGCTCCTTTACAGGTCAGCCCTTCAACTGCTTGAAGAGTTGTTGGGTCCCTCTGAGTCTTCTCCAGGCTAAACGTGCCCTGTTCCATCCACCGGTTTATCATAAGATATGGACTGTTAGGTAAGCCCTTTGCCATCCTGGCTTTCCTCCTCTGGACTCTCCAACTCATCAGCGGTGCCCAGAACTGGACACAGGGCTCCAAGGGAGGGCAGAATACAATGGGGCTGTTACCTCTGTTCCTGGCACTGTGCTCTTCTGTGTATCCCACTGCTGACTCGTACTGAGCCCACAGGCCCCTAAAATTCCCAGGTCTGTTTCACAACTGCGTTCTATTTCTAAATTCTCCCTATACTTGTGATTTTTTTTGTTTGTTTGTTTTGTCTTGTTTTTCTACTCAGGTACAAGGGAGGAAAGGATATAAGCATTTATATGACACCTGTGTTGTGCTCAGTGTTTGACAGTTATCTCATTTGACAAGACTTTACATTGATCCCTATTGAGTTTCATCTTATTAGGTTTAGCCCAGGGCTCTTTTGTCTGAAAAGGTGCATTTAGGTCCTGCTTCTCATCCAGTGTGAGCTCTCCCTCCCAGCTTGGTCTAATTGAATTGAGCATGCAACAACCCCTTTATCTGAGTCTCTGATAAAAAGGCTAACCCACGCAGGGCCCAGCACAGATCCTTAGGATGGTCCACTAGAGACCTGACAGGCTGACGTTAAACCGTTTACAACTAATACACTCTTTGAGTACAGCTGTCCAACTGATTCTGCAGTTTTCTGGCAGTATTATTGTCTTCCTCATGACTCTCCGTCTTCTCTACAAGAAGAGTGCAAGATACTTCAGGAAAAGCTTTGCTTAAACCCAGCTAAACTATCTCTGTGCCATTCTCCTCATCCACTAATTTAGTAATTGTGTCAAAAAAGGAAATGAAGTTAGCCTGGCCCACCTGTGGTTGCTGAAGCCGGTGCTGGCTCTTGGTAATCACTGCTTCCTTTCTCGACGTTCTCGAGCCATTCTAGAATTGTTGCAGGAGTCCATCAGGCTCCTTGGCCAATATGCAGGCTTTGTTCTCTTTCCTTTTCTAAAAATTAGGGTCATATTGGCTGTTCTTCAGTGTCTGACCTTTCCCATCTCCCTGGATCTTTCACTGACGGGCCTATTTTAAAACATCTGCCAGTTCTCTCAGGACCCGAGCATGCAGTTTGTCTAGGCTGAGGCCTCCTCCTCTTCATACCTCAAGGATCACCTCCCTATCCATTCTCTTTTGTCATTTTCAGTCTAATCGTCATTCTCCTTTGCAGAGGAAACCGAAATGAAGAATTGAATATATTCTTATTAAAGATATTTTTCTCTCTCAAGATGTTTTAATGTGCATTTGCATCCTGAAAAAAGCCCCTGCAGATTTCCTCTCTGTCCATCTTAAGGAGCTGATGGGACTACATTTGTCTCTCATTCAGGCATAGACTAGTAAAGGTAGTCTTGTAATTGCTGGGTATTTGAGCACTAGACTGTCTCTGAGTATTTTTAAATGTTTTCAAAGAGTTATTTGAGGTGCATGATGGAAAATGCTATCCACATCCAAAGAAAGAACTATGGAGTTTGAATGCAGATCAAAGCATACTATTTGCTATTTTTTTCCTTCTGTTGTGTTTTGTTTCCTCTTTCTGGTGGTTCCTCCTACTGTTTCTAATTCTTACTTACAACATCACTAATGTAAAAATATGTTTAATAGGAATGTATGTGTATAGCCTGTATCAGATTGTGGTCATCTTGGGGACGGGAGGTAGGACGGAGGGGGAGAAAAATCTAAAATTCAAAAGCTTATGGAAGTGATTGTTGATAAATCAAAATAGATTTTAAAAAAAGTTATTTGAGGTGGATAGGTTAGAATATCTCCCTAAGGTCATACAAGGAACATTGTCAACTAGCCCACTGACTATATGCATTTATCTACATAGATAGATAATGACATAGAGATATTATTAAGTTCTAAAGACATAAAAGCAGTACATAGATGTTATCTATCGCCTTTATCTCATTTGGTTTTTCTTGCCATTAATTACATGAAGTAGTAAAAAGCAGAGATTCTGATCTGAAGATTTAGCAAGTATTGGCTGATCCTGGAGCAGCTAGGTGACGCAGTGGATAGAGCACCGGCCCTGAGGTCAGGAGGACCTGAGTTCAAATTTGGCCTCAGACCAAACACTATCTTGACCCTGGGCAAGTCACTTAACCCCAATTGCCTTTAAAAAAAAAAAAGTGTTGGCTGATTTTGTTTCAGCCAATACTTTTTTTTTTTTTATTGAAGATATTTCCTGTTGCCTATCACACTTTGGTCCTTTTATGGTTTTTCCCTGGTGTTAGCCCTATTCTTTCCAAAAGAATGTGCCTCCCAAGTGCCCCTGAACTTATAACTTCCCTGATTTGGACCTCAGAATTTGAATGTAACCCATAATCATATGATTTCTGGTTGTATCGGATATGAGTTGTTTATTTGTGATCCTTTTTTCATACGTTATTTCTTTTCCCCTCTCTTTTTTAGGATTCAGTCACCTACAAAGCCAGCCAGTCCCTCAGTCAAGTGGACGGAGGGAGAAAAAGAGCTATTTGAGCAAGGCCTGGTAAAGAAGAGCCTTTTTAATCATTTCAGATAAAATTATTCTAGCAGCTCTAGCTGTTCCTAAGCACAGAGAGGTGTGATAGCTGGTAGTGAGGAGATCAAGTGTTACATATTTCCAATTCAGAAATTTTTTATAATTGCATCTTTCACATTTTTTCTAGAGGTGAATGAAACAATAAACTAGATCCAGAATATGATGCCTGACATAGTAAGCCATTAAAGTCATTGTGATTTATTGTAAGCAGCCATAACCCACAAAAGAAGTTTTTTCTGACCTAGAGAAATTAGACTATGTGATGCCAAGTATCAAGACAAAAAGTGAAAAATCCTCCTAGTTCTTAGATGTTTACCTAATGCCTGCTCATCTGGATCGTTAATATCTTGGCAATTGCCTGAAATTTTCCTTTTAATTCAGGCATTTGGAATTCTGCAGGCAATCAAAATGGATTCATTTTGGTTAGAAACCAGAAACAACCTATTTGCATAAATGTTTCATAAAGATCAATTCAAATGTTTATAGATAATCAGTATAGAAAACTTACACATAGCAGTACAACTGTAAAATACCCTCCCTGTACCCTCTTGTTTAAAAAAAAAATACAGAGTATATTTACTATTAAATGTTGCTGAATGTCAAAAATAGAGTTTTTCATGCCTTTAGGAATTTGTATATACATTTCAGAGATTATTAAATGAAATTAGTATGGTTGAATCTTAAATATGAGCTTTTTGATAATGTTCTCTTCACTGTGACACCATGGTAATATTTGAATGTAGATATAACCACATCTCTTCCTCCACCCTTTTTTTTGAGCAGTGCAGGAGCAAAGGCAGCCATTCGTTGGTATTTTAGTTGGGCAGAGACTACCTGGAGACTAGTCTGGAATGAGAGGATCCAGGGTAGACAGGTGTCCTCAGGGGTTTGAGGAATAGGCCCCAGAGTTAACCACCACTGCCCTTGTGAAAGGCCTGTACCTAGGGAGTAGTAGTGATATTTGGTTGTTCTTAAAGATGAAAAAAGAAACCTGTTGTCTTTTCTCATGAATGATTATTGTCTAACTTTTGTCCTTGGACTCTGGAAGAGCTTTGTTCTGTTTATATAAGCTGTTCATCAGTATGGATTGCTTATTTTTTAATTGATGGATTGCTTATTTTTTAAAAACCCACGTAACTGGGAAAGTCTTGCACTGTTTAGGGTGGAGGGGTTGTGAGTTTTTCATTTGTATTTTTATTTTCATTCTTAAGGTTCGAAAAGTACTTTACCCATGTTATTTCATGTCATCCCCACAATTGCCCTGTGTGGTAGGGGCTGTTATCCTTATTTTACAAGTGAGGGAACTGCTGAAAGAGAAGTGGCCCGCCCATAGGTGCACAGTGAGTTAAGTGTCTCAGACAGGATTTAGGCTCCGCTCTTTCTGACTCCGAGTCTATGCTACTTAACTGCACGGGGTCATCAGTTTTCACAGGTCAGCAGTAATTATGATTTGATTAACTATTGGCTCACTCGTTAGCGTTAGAAGGAAAGTGAGAGTGGTTTTGTGATGAGTGCTCCTTTTTTTGTTGTTGTAATTTTTAAGAGGACATACCTATCCAGGCTCTATTTCCAAGCTAACAAAAACGTTTTAAAATTTCTCTTTTTTGCTACGGCAGGCCAAGTTTGGCCGGAGGTGGACCAAAATTGCAAAACTAATAGGAAGCCGAAATGTTTTACAAGTCAGAAGTTACGCCAGACAGTACTTAAAGAAGAAGGTGAGTGGGACCTAGAGAGTGTAGTTAATGGTAAATTGTGACATTTAGAGAAACAGAAAAAAGAAACCACCTCCCAGTGAATGTAATAAACAGAAAACACAAGGCTTTCAATTCAGGCCCTGACATCTTACTATGAAGTGTCATGTCATCGTCCTCGAAGTGTGCTAAGCTAGACAAGTAGATCAAGTCTAGGAAATGTCAGTGCCATTCCCCAAGTCACAATATTGACCCTTCAGTCAATTTGAGCCTCAACTCAAACACTGGCAATCATAAGCCAACCTTTCCTCTGAAATTCTAGTAGAATGTGAGTTCCATGTTTGTATACCCAGCCCCTGCTGGCACACCATAGGTATTAGTAAATGACTGTTGAATTGGAAGATTTCCTTAACTTTAAAATGTGGTTTTAGCATGCAGTCTTGAATTAGCAAAAACAAAAACCCACAGGATTAATTACCAAAAAATGAAAATTCCTCATCTTCTCTGCTTCCAAATCCAGCATTCTTTTAACTCTATGTTACTGTACATTGAGCCCACCCAAATTTGAAAATTTCACCCTCCTCACCCACCCAAGTTATCGTCGTTTAGAGGCTCTGTCACAAAATAAGTCCTGTGGAGCATGGCATGTGTGGTTGTGCATTTATTAAGAGCGCCCTGCCTAGTGCCTCTGATGAAGCTGCTAGGGTCTGACAGGGATGTCAGGGAGGGCACCAAATCTCCTCTGTGCCCTAGTGGGGTTTGCTCGTACAACATCCCCCGGGAGGTATTTGTTGATTGTGTTGATTGGATTTGAGTTGGTCACCTGGCTTTAGCCATCTTTTCTGCTGTTAGAGTCCTTTGCCTTACATTGAGCCTAGGTCATCTGCAGCTTCCACATATTACTCCTGGGTCATAGGAGCGTAGATTTGGAGCTTGAAGACCTTCGAGGCCCCGCCCTTCATTTTACACATCATTGGGACTGACCTGGAAGGGAGGTGACTAGCCCAAGGTCCGACAGGTGGGGTATAGGTCCTCGGGCTTCAGGGCCGATGACAAGGCATCTCATTCATTACTCCTTCACACCCCAGACCTTTGAATGCTTAGAGATCCCTCTTGTTTTTCCTCGGCCTCCCCATCCACCCCCCAATTCCCGTTGTCCTCCTCTGGATGCTTCCAGTTTTCTGGTGTCTTAAAAACACAGCGCCCAGAGCTGGAGGCCAGGTCGCGGATGGGAGCTTGTGCAACCCTCATTTTACAGCTAGAGAAATTGGGCTACACTCTCATTCTTGGTGATTACAGCAAGGTCTTAATTACTTGAAGAATAGGAATGACCAGAGGCTGAGTAAGTGTGAAACTTGAAGAGGTCAGTGTGTGCATGTGCGCATGTGTGTGCAAAAATGAACTATCAAGGATACTCATGAGACTCAGGTTAATAGTGTTCTCTTTGTTTTGTGCCTCTTATTTAAGTTATAAAACATTCCTTTTCTTGTTTTTTGTTTTTTTTTTAAATTGTAAGACAAAATTAGATGGCCTGGGAAAAGGCGTGCCCAAGCTAAAGAGCAGCAGTCACCTTGAGCCCCCAGATGCCTCATTGGGCCCACCAGGGCACGCTGACCCTAGGCTGAACGCTGTGAGAATTGAGGCATTGTCCGATGACGAAGAAGTGGACGTCACTGATGAGTCAGATGAATGTTTTCACATCCCCCCAAGGAGCCCCAGCAGTCTTCTTTTATTTGATGTTCCCAATAATACAGACCATAAAGCGGACCCCCAAGGGTTCCTTTCTCCTGCGGGACAAGACCAGGCTGTTTCTGCAACTCCCAGGGGGGACCTTCACAGCACCTCGCAAGGGCAGAGGGAGGGGCTCTCTGCCTCGGGAGTTGCTTCCCGGGTGCAGAAGTCCAGCTGCAATGGTGGAAGATGTGACCGGGTGGACGACGATCAGACGTCTAATCCCGGGGGTGGGGTGGAAGGAAGCACCACGTTGGGGGACGGCGATCAGGGAACTGGCCCGGAGCTTGGCCGAGGGCCAAAGGACGTCCTCGATCGTGAGATGCTTTTCCACCCCTCCTGCCAAGTGGATGAGGAGAGCCCAGAAGAGGGGGAGCCACTCAGAGCGCCCGAGCAGGAGGCGGAAGTCAACAGAGACAGCATTCAGGAGGAGGAGAAGCAGGCCATCCCTGAGTTTTTTGAGGGCCGTCAGGCCAAGACACCAGAACGCTATTTGAAGATTAGGAATTACATTTTGGATCAGTGGTAAGAAACAAAATCATATCGGAATGAAATTTTGAGACTCCGGCTCCCTTTTGTGTGACCTTGGGAGCACTTTAATTAGGCTCATAACTAGGCAGGACTCAGTATCCTGAATGCCCAGGTTATTGCTGCTTTTCCTGAAGCTTCATCCATTACGCCTTCTCTGCTCCAGTGTCGGCATCTGTTTATTAGAGGGAGTGGATTGTGGGGTGGGAAATCAAAATAGGTAGAACGTTTCTGTTTCATAGAACAGCATGTACCTGCCACCTTTTCTCCTCTTTCTAAGGATCCAAGGAAGAGCTGCTGAGGCTCAGAGAAGGCCTTATGAGGAACATGGCCTCGGGCTGGGCTTCGAAGGGTGGAAAGAATTTTTAAAAAGCAAAAGCAGGGGCCAGGAGAAGATTTTGGAGGTAGAGAGACTATCTCAAGCAAAAGTGTGGGGGTAGAAGAGTCTGGGACTTGTTGGAAGGATTTGGTTTGTCTGGGATGTATGTGTGTGTTCAGGGTAGCAGGGCCAGCGAGGGGGGGCCATGCTGAGAAAGAGTTTCTGCTTTTTTCCCAGTTGGCAATGGTGAGCCAGCAAAGGGTGGTGAGTCAGCTGACTAGCTGAGCAGCGTGCGTCCCTGTTGGGCAGATAGGGAAACTAAGGCTCACGTAGCTTGCACGGGTCTGAGGCCAGATTACAGGCTTGGTCTCCCTGACCTCAAGTCCAGTGTTAGCCACAAGCCACCAACAAGGAAGACGGTGAAGAGAGGAGGAGGAGGCCGGGCCAATCGCAGTGGTCCAGGGTGGTCACAGTCAGCAAGTCCTCAGCCCCTCCTTTGCGCCAGGCCTTGTGCCCCTTCTAAGGGGAGAGACCCCTTCCCCCCCAGAGCACAGGTGGATCTAAGCGACCTAAGGATAGCAGGAAGGGGGCAGCCAGGAGCGATCTCATGGAGGAGGTGTTGTCTGAGCCGGGAGAGAAGGCCACCCCAAACCTACAGGGTGGGTTCTGAAGGAGGGTCCAGGGCAGAAGAGGCAGTAGGGAGCCGCAGGGGAATGACAGGGTCCTAGCGGAGCTTAAGGAGAATTCTTTTGGCAGCATTGTGGGGGATGGGCTGCAATGAGAGGAAGCCCATTAGGAGGCCTTCGAAACAATTGGAGGTGAAGGATGAGGGCCTGGGCCCTGCAGGGGAGAGGAGCCAGGGCCAAGTGGGAATGGAGGAGGGTGCTGAGGAGGCCTCAGGAAGTTCTGCTTTAACTGTCAGCCGTCCTCTGCTGGCGCAGTGGGCATGCGGGACGTGGGGCAGCACCCGAGTTCGGGGCAGAAGGCAACGGTTTGGGAGGCAGGAAGGAAAAGGAGCGAGCCCTGGACGAGTCACGAGGCTTCTAGAGGGTCCTGTGCTGGGGGCTGGATAGCGTGGGCCATGGCCACTGTGTGTCAGGAGAGCTGCTTGTAACTTCGGTGAGCCGCCTGTTCTGGCATCTGTAAGATGGGACTAGTCCTGTCGGTAGTGAGGTTCCCATTGGCTTATGGATTTAAGGTACTCTGCCTGGCAGGGAGACTAGGCTCTCCAGTGCTGTGTCTCACTGAGCTATGGCAATACCTAATACTGACACGACACCCTAAATTTGCTCCCCCCTCCCCCCACACATGTACATATAAGCCTATGAGGTAGGTAGAATTACCATTTTACAGATGAGGAAATGGAGCCTCAGAGAGTGAAGGAGATTTGCACAAGATTGTAAAAGTACCCAGGCCTCCTCTTTGCCCAGCACCAGAGCTCTCAGGCTCCATGTGTGGGTACCCCTCGCCAGAGGGTTATTCATGACAGACAGATGGCCAGGCTTGTTCAGACTCACCAGCGTCAGGTCTAGCTCTGTCAGACTGCACGGAAGTCCTGGCATTGACCTTCCTCCTCAGAAATGGCTTTTCCATGTTCTTGCCTGTCTTTGAGACCTTGCCAAGAGAAGCATCTCAGGGGTGAAGAAAGGACCGCAGTTGGCGTCCTCCTCCTCCCTTTCTTCTCTCTCCTTTTTGGGCTCCATGGGATCCTGTGTTGTCCATCCATCTCCTGGCTAGAGATGGAGGCGTGGAAGACAGTCTGTGGTGGCACAAGAGTCCTGGCAACTGTTGGTCCGTGTGGACACCCTCTCTGCTGGGTTCAAGCGCCCCACACTGATCTCCGCAGGACAGGGGCAGAGTGGGACATCCTTGACGGGAGCTGGGCATTTCTCCAGCGATGCCAAGGGGAGAGGGAGCGACCATGAAAATGGGGGATGTGTTGGAAGAGAGATGGGAGGCTTCAGCCACCAAAACACTCACTTTGGAAGGCCACGTGGAGTCCATTTGACATCACGAGTTCTGGGCTCAGAGTCAGGGAGACCTGCGTCTGAATGTGGGCAGCGCTCGTGGCCGTTCTCAACCTCAGTTTCTTCCTCTGTGAGATGGGTTCATAGGGCCCAGAGCACCTAAAATGGTGTCATGTATGAAAAGTGCCGCATAAATGTCAGTTATTATTGCCATGATTGTTGGCAACAATCATTGACTACCTCATGTATAGGACATTATGCGAGGCACATCATTGTCTTGTAATAGTATTAGCGTAAGTGATGTTCTCAACAACTAGTACGATTTTGAAAGAAAATCCTAGGCTTTAGAAATAGTCTGAGCAAAGGACCAAAGGGCAGAGGAGTATTGTAGACATAGATCTGAGGGGAACCCCAGACACTAGGCATGAAGCCCCAGTCCTTCACTTTACAGCGAAGGAAAAGGTGAATGGCCCAAGATCACATTGTCACTAAGCAACCTAGGTGAGATTCGAACCCAGGGCCTGGAACTCCAGAACCAGTCTTCTTTTTGTTATGTAGCACTGCCTCCATTTTCAACTTTAAAATTCACTCTGTCAGAATAGGAACAGATATTCCCCAATAATGAACTATGAATGTGATTAAAAAATAATATGAAATACATTTAAAATTCAGTTATCTAAGCTTATTTCTGGAAAAAAAAAACTGGATCTGCATTTGCATATGTTTATAATTTCCAGCCTCTTTGTAACTAAAATCTGGTGAATTTAATGTCAGAAAAAAATCCAGTTGCTGTGGGAAAGTTGGAACACTAATGAATTGTTGGTGGAGTTGTGAACTGATCCAGCCATTCTGAAGAGCAATTTGGAACGATGCCCAAAGGGCTGTAAGACTGCATACCCTTTGAACCAGCAATACCACTTCTAGGGCTGTATCCCAAAGAGATCATACAAATGGGAAAAGGACCTATGTGTAGAAAAATTTTTATAGCAGCTCTTTTTGTGGTGGCCAAGAACTGGAAAATGAGGGGATGCCCATCAATTGGGGAATGGCTGAACAAGTTGTGGTATATGAATATAATGGAATACTATTGTTCCATAAGAAAGGTTGAGCAGGCGGACTTCAGAAAAACCTGGAAAAACTTGCATGAACTGATGCTGAGTGAAGTGAGCAGAACCAGGAGAACACTGTTCACAGTAACAGTAAGATTGTGTGGTGACCAACTTTGGTAAACTTAGCTCTTCTCAGCAATGCAAGAATCTAAGACAATTCCAAAAGACTCAAGATGGAATATTCTATCCATATGCAGAGAAAGAACTGTGGAGTCTGAATGCAAATCGAAGCACACTATTTTCTCTTTTTTTCTTTTCTTTTTTTTTTCTTTCTGTTTTTTGTTTCTTTCTCGTGGTTTTTCCATTTGGTTCTAATTCTTTACAACATCACTAATGTGGAAATATGTTTAACATGATTGTACATGTATGGCCTATATTAGATTGCATGCCATCCTGGAGAGGAGAGAAAATTTAGAACTCAAAATCTTATAAAAGTGAATGCTGAAAACTAAAAATAAATAGTTAAAAAGAAAAAGAAAAACCTAGTTGCAAAAATGATGCTGCTATACCTTGTCAGTTACTGCATAATTTTTCGAATGAATGGATCTGTTTTAACTATCACAGAAATTTTTCACTTTCTTACTTTGCAAGGATAGCTTTGTTTGAGGAAGTTATATGAGAGCATTGGAATGTTTTACTATACACTGAGAAAAAAAATGTTAAGAAATGATAGGTATTAAAATGTTATTGTAGAAATGAAATTTTCATTTTTATATTTCCAAAATATTAGGGAAAAATGCAAACCGAAATATTTGAATAAGACCTCGGTGCGTCCAGGCCTGAAGAACTGTGGCGATGTTAACTGCATTGGACGGATACACACATACCTGGAATTAATAGGAGCAATCAATTTTGGATGTGGTAAAAAAGAAAAAATTATTAACATTTTTATTTTTACAGCACTTGCTGATACGTTTGATAACTTCAAAGAAGAGACATGTTCTTGAAAAGTTAGCTAAGAAGCCTTTCTTTTGATTGACTTGTTAACATTTTCTTCCTGACCTGCCTTTGAAAATTTCTCATAGAAGACAATCTGGCCCCATGTTTAATAGTGCTGTTCTTTAAAAATCAGATAAAGGAAAGGGAATTTAACGCAGTCAATGATAATACCCAGAGTTAATTCACAAAATGCAGGTGATTTGCTAATACCCCAAATACCAAAACCCCCTTTTAAAAATTGCTTGAATATTAGTGACCAAATTAATATCCCAGGAAACAGTGGTTGCTCAGCTTTCATTTAAAAGAACAATACCCCAACATTTTTTCCAAGAAGGTTCCTCCCCAGCCTCAGATGTCTTTTAAAACTGCATTTATATCTTTTATTATTTAGTTAGCATTACAGTATATGATTGAAAATTAGGAAGTAATTAGACCAAACTTCCCCTTAACAGAAGCATCTAAAAACAGAAAGGGGTGTCCCTTTGTATTATGAAGATGCACATGTCCAACAAAGGGGCGAATTTCTAGGGGTGTTTTTGGGTAGGGATACATGCAGGCAGCACTCATCCACTTCTCATTGACAAACCCACCCCAAACAATTAAGCAGGAGCCTCACACCTGGTGATCGAACACTTAGGAAAGGTGGCCACTGTGTTCTTCTGCTTCCAGGCAAGAAATCCTCCCAGGACTACACTGGAGACACGTTTCTGGCCAGTTTTGAAACAGAGTGGGAGTGCTTCCTTAGCTCCCATTTTGAAGGTGCCCTGAGCGTAGAGGATATTTTGTTGAGTACAAAATGCATTATTCTGGAAACTCATGTTGCTGCATGAGAACCACCAAGCTGCCTGTGTGCCCCCAACCCTTGTAGGCCCCACAGCTCAGTTTAAAGGGGCCCTTGCTGTTGACTGCTGTTCTCATCACTGGTGGCTCACGGAGCCTGCAGAGCCAGGGAGGGAGGGGTGGGAGCTCAGTGCTCTTGAGAGCCCCTCAGCAATGGCTTGGGAAAGGGCCTGGGTGCTAGACACTCCTGAGCCAGAACAGTGGGCAGGCCACATTCCTACTTCTAGGGCCCCATTCTTCCTCGTATCTCCTGAATGTCAATCAGTTTCCTCTAAAATCGTTTCATGAAAAGTAAAAGTTGACACTGTCTCTGGCGTCCAATAGAGCAGGCCGTGTATAACAGACCACAGGCCTCAGACAAGACACGGGTCAGAGACGGCAGAGATGCAGAGGAAGCATACCAGCTAGCCCAGCGGCTGCAGTCGATGGTGAGCCGCCCTCCAGGGCCTCCTGGCCATCTTCCTCCCTCCGTCTTTTCCCATCAGTCTCTGTCTCCTTCTGTCCTTCCCTCTCCTTTCCCCTTCTCCCCGCCTCTTTCTGCATCTTTGACAGTTTGTGTCATGTGTCCGTGCAGTGGGTTGGCAAGTGAAATGTCTTTTTTTACCGACATCCCGCTTAGCCTTTCATTTGTCTAGCTTCCACTCGATGCTGCATTCTGTATAATTTTGTTCAAGTGAAAAAAAAACAAACAAAAAAACCCAACTGCCTCCAAATTCACATGTAAACCTACTCCCAAAACAACCTGTTCTGCCAGAGCGGTGTTAAACCAATTATTTTTAATTTCTCCATCAATGCTAGGATTCTGTTAGAATTGGATGACTGCATTGACTAGAGAGGTCATCATTTTAAACTCTGTTGCTGTCAGCGATTTGATTTGAATAGATTGATAATGTTTAATGTAATCTTCTCATTACAGCGAGCACGCAGGCGGCGCGTGCGAGACCCATGGGGGAACTGGTGTGATGCCCGAGATTTGGAAGGCCAGACGTTTGAGGTAATGTCCCCCTCTGAGCCGTCGGAGCCCCTTTCCTCTCCCTCCCAAGTCACTTGTCCTTCTCTGAATTAGAGAGAGTGGTCGTGAGTGAGTGCAAATTAGAAATGGGGTAGAAGAAAGGACGGCAATTAGGAAGCGTGGAGCTTCAGACGGTTAAGTCACAACATTTGGGAAGGCCCTTAGAGACCTCGTGCCCAAACCATGGAGGTTCCCTATCTGAGAGGAGGCTGTCTTCATTGGCAGTATTCCTGAGCCTCCGAACACAAGGCCGACTCTGCCCTTGTCACTGCCTCATTCACCTCTGGGCAGAGGTTGAGTCTCCTGCCACCCCTTCACCGCTTTACCCCTGGGTCAAGGTACTCTGGGGTTGGCCTGCAGGGAGCTCCGCTTCTCCGCAGCTTCTGTCACTGAGCACAAGGGCTCAGGGCAAAGCCCTGGCTTTGGTCCTGGCTCTGAGGAGCTCCCCATCCCCCAGGTGAGGCCTGAGCCTATCTGCCATATCTCTGCTTTTTTTTGTTTTTTTGGTGAGGCAGTTAGGGTTAAGTGACTTGCCATGAGTCACACACCTCATAAGTGTTATGTGTCTGAGGCCAGATTTGAACTCAGGTCCTCTTGACTCCAGGGCCAGTGCTCTGTCCACTGCACCACCTCGCTGCCCCCACCTCTGTGCTTTTGTCCCGGGCCTGGAATGCCCTCTGCCCTCCCCTCTCTCCTTGCAGCTTTTCCTGAGCCCTAGCACCAGTCGCGCATTTGTGTGTGCGTCTCCTGAGTGGCTGTTGTTCCATTCTTTGTATGTGGATCCTGAGCACCGAGTACACCACAGGTTCTTAGTAAGTGCTCAGGGCTTGGTTGTCATTTCAGTCTGCTGTCCTTTGCCCATGGCCACAGATGGTTACTGAAGCCTGAGTCTTTGGTTCTTTTTCTCAAGGTGGTCACTTCCCTGGCACGCACTGGTTTTAGGCTTCACGGTAGTCTTTCCACGATAGGGGAGCAGGGTTGTGGCAGCCATCTGTCTCCTGGGTCCTTGGCCTCACTGGCACCACGGTGTGACCCCCACCACAAGGAGACATCTGAGTAAACTGCTTATGGAGGCTTTTCCTGTGTTGGCCTGAAAAGAAGCCGAAGGGGACTTTTGGTTTGTTTTTTTAGTGGTGGCTTTACTCAGTATGTGACACAGATGTGACCAAAGTCATCCAGACTTCTTTCCTGGCGTCCAGTGTCCCCTGTTCTCCTTCTGCCCGGCCAGGCTTTTCTTCTGGACATTTGCTTGGGCGGGAGTGGGCCCAGTTCTCAACTAGATGATCGGGCTGGAGCGTGTCCTTGTCTCCAGCAGGAGACATAGGAACTGGCACAGGTGGGGGAGGGAGGGAGGTGTAACTTCAGATGGATTCAGCTTTGACACAGTACCTCGTCCTGGCTAGAGGGCTGTTTGGTCAAGTGGTTTTTTGTTTCCAGCATCTCTCCGCTGAGGAGTTAGCCAGAAGGAGCGAGGAAGAAAAAAACAAACCCACCAAAGTTCCCAGGGCTCCCAGGCTCCCCAAAAGGTAACCCCTTGGCTGTTTGAAAAGAGTTATTTGGGGTAAAAGGTTGAAAGAGTGATAGGAAAGAATGTCCCCAGGAGCAACCAGGCCACATGGGCTCCTTTGATGTCTAGGTCTTTGCAGGGGGGTTGTACCCTGCGTGGGCAGTGTGGGCCCTCAGCTGCGAGGATGCCCAGGCCATGGTCCCTCCTGCTGTGTGCTGTCTTCACCACTTCCACTCTAGCGTCTTTGGACTTTGGCCTTGAGAGGTCCGTCTTGGCAGAGTGCGAGTGGTGCCCCGCGTTGATGGACCAAGGAGAGCAGGGAGTCTGAGGTCTCATCAGTGAGGGTACCTCCCTCCCCAGCTCTGGCCACAGCCCATCCACGCTCTCCTGGGGTCATCATGTCTGGGCCCATGCACACCACGCCTGGCAGTGGGGGGGGGGGGGTCTTCACACAGTTCTCCTGTCCTTGTCCTTCCCACGTGTCCCCAACTGTTGCTTCGGTGGTCACAGAGCTCCCTGGGCTGGGAAGGTCCCTCCAGTGTCCACCCACTTGTGCCATGGGATCCACACTATAGAATAGTCTGCAGACAGGTCAACTTTTCTCATGTGATGTTTCTGTTGCTGTTGGTACTTTAAAAATATTTGATGGAGTGACCTTCCTGACTTTCCCATTAATTATACTAAAAGGGAAAATGTTTCCTTTTGCAGCTCCCTTGACCCATTCCAGCTGATTCCGTGCAGTCTCTTCAGCGAAGCGAAGCAGGTACTTGTTGCCCCTCAGTTTGTGACGGGGGGACGCAAAGCAGTCGCACTCCATTGGCTCCTCTCGTGGAGAGCTGCAGTGTGCTCAGCCCTTTACTGGGCCACGTAGGGCACAGACATTGAGTTGTTTTCTGCCTTTGTGAGGCTGACGTCATGTGTCTGAGCAGAGGCCAGAGGCCCAGGGTGCTTCACCTCTTGTGTGGCCTGGACCGCACAGCCAGGCGGTCTCTGATGAAGCCCACGGGCCCCTTCTGTGCATCATAGCTGTCAGGGCAGTCAGTAGAATACATAATGAAGGAGCTGAAGGTTAGTGGAAATGAAGTTGGAATGATTTTCCTTCCAAGTTTGTGGATCCCTTGGAGCTCCATGAGGCAAGGCAGGCCGAGAGCCCTGCCATCCACAGACACGATCGGATGAATCAAAGGACAGCCCTTGATCTGGTCCCTGGGGGCGCTCCCTGGGCCATCACCACTGGGCCAGTTCTGATCCGTAGCCTTCCACACTCCTCCGCACTGTGTTATCCAGGATCCCTGGCCCTCGCTCAGTGTGACGATCTCTCACTTTCCCAGTTGCCCACATCCGTGGTACTGTTTCTGCTGTCACCCACGATGGCCCGCTGTAGCCTCCTCCCACATCCTGGCACGCGTCACCCTGACACCCTTCATTGGCCCCCCTCATCTTGTGGCTCTGAGGTCCTTGGGAGACTCAAGGGGCTGGGCTCGTAGTGAGGCAGGCATACCTTCAGTACAGTCGGTGTGAGTGAGCGAGTTTAGAGGGGCCAAGGTGAGGCTCAGGGGGCCGGGCTCGTGGTGGTGTGGGCCAACCATCGGCGCTGTCATTGTGGGCGAGCCAGTCCAGGGGACCAAAGCAACGTGTTGCCTGTGGGGCAGTGCCTCAGGGCCGGTGGGGGAGAGCACTTGGGGAGCACTGGCGGCACTGCCTCTGTCTTTATGCTGTTTTTCCCTTGTGTTTCAGGAGCCATTTCAGGTGCGAGTGGCTTCCGAAGCACTTTTAATAATGGATTTGGTAAGGACGCAAAGCTGCCCAGGTAGTCTGATCTGTACTCTCATATTTGTGTTGCAGGCATAAGGGACAGTTGGAAGACGTGTATTTTGGAACTTAACTATCCTTTACAAAGAATCTAAAAATAAGATTTTTCTTTTGGAGAAAAGCCAAACAGTTGTATGTTCCCATATTTTAGAGAGAATAAATTAATGTGAGTTTTTGCAGACTGTTTATCATCATTGTTATCCCACTAAGTTTCATTTATATCCGAATATCCCTTGGCTGCTGCCTTGAGAATAACTGCAACAAAAGCAGCCCCCTGTAATTTGGGAGGTCCTTGTTTCTGAAGCGTCACAGAGATTGCTCTGCTGGCCTCACTGCTCCAGGGGCACTCGGGGCGTTTCTCTCCAAGGTAGAGCTTTCAGCAGTCTGACTCCACCTATCCCTCTTAACATCTGGGGATGGCTGTGAGGCCGTGGTGGCAGGCAGCCCTGTGTTAGGAGGGGAACATTAAGGCCCAGATCCCCCAGGCGGCCCCCAAGCATGGGCCTTGCTGCCTCTCTCAGCAAGTGCCCTCCCCAGATTACCGATCTTGATTGTGCATTTACACTATCGGTGTGTGCTTTGTCTGAATGTGTTCTTGTTACCTGTAGCATGCTCATGTTTCCATGGCAGAAGTGATTGGTCTCTTAGGAGGAAGATATTTGGAAGCTGAGAAGGTAATTGAGGTAAGTTAGCTTTTCATCCTTGAACTCCCCAGTGTTTTGTTTCCCACCCTTCTTTTCATGAAGTTCAGGGAATAGCGAGGAAGAGGACAACTTAGTAATCCCCTTTTTATAGACAGACGGAGGAGGCCGCGGGGAGCCCTTCCCGTAGGTGGGGGCTTCAGGCCTGGATTTCCCATGTCAGAGAAGTAGATTTATCTTCCTGTGGAGAGTGAATAAACATGTCTCATAGCCTGGGATCGTGAGAACCATGGTGGGATATGGAGGAGCAAATGGAGGTTAGGGCAATATGATTGCGCCTATCTCTGGTTGGAACATGGAGTGTCTGTGTGCCCGAGAAGACACCTCCAGTGCCTTGGCCCTCGTGGCCTGCCTTCTTTCTTGGGAGACACGTCCAAGTGAGCACCCCACAGCCAGATGGTGTGATTTATGCCTAGTAAGAGAGAGGCGTGTGAAGCGAGGATCATTTTATGTCACTTGTGTATGAGAGAGAAGTCATGAGCTTAAACGTGATTAACATTCCATTGTAATCTTAGAGGATTGTCATTGATAGGTCTGTGCAGCTGAGCCCTGTAACAGTCTGAGCACAGGATTGCAATGCGAGATGGACCCTGTATCCCAAACCCAAGCATCAGAGACCTTGGCCGGCCGAGGGTATAGCGTCATTGGCTGGTACCACTCTCATCCTGCCTTTGATCCGAACCCTTCGCTTCGAGATATCGACACCCAGGCCAAATACCAGGTGTGTGGGTGTGGGGGTGTATGTGTGTGAGCGAGTGTGTGTGTGTGTGAGCGAATCAGTCAAAAAACATTTATCAAGTGCCTATTATGTGCTAGGCACTGTGCTGAGCTCTAGAGGGAGGTGGAAAGAGAGGCAGAAGACCAGCCCTGCCCTCAAGGAGCCCACAATCTAACGAGAGAGAGAACACGTAAAAAGAATCTGAAACTTGTGGGGAGAGGGGCGCCTGGTGCTTGGTTGGGGGAGCAAAGGGATGGGAGATGATGTGTGTTTGTCCAGGGCACCCTCCTTTCAATGGAACATCTGGGACAGGCTCTCCAAAGTCATTGGGAAAAGTGTATGATTTCACTGGTGTGGTCACTTATAGTGAGGAAATGCCCTCTGGTGATGCTGCCTGGCGTGTGGCCACGACTCCGAGAGTTGCCCAGTGCACCCTGAGGGTGGGGTGGGGTGACTGGCCCTGGTCACATAGTACATAGCAACAACACAGCTTGCGTCCAAGCCTTTGTGGCACCAAAGGCAGACCCTCTGTCCACTACGCCATGCTGCCTCTCCTATGTACGGAATTATTTGTGTATTTTAAATTTCAGCTCCACAGCTTAGCTTCAGCAAACCTTTCCAGATCCTTCCCTCCCTGCTCTGCTTATGGTGCCCACGACAGCTCGCCTCTTCCAAATTACCGAACCCATCGCTGTGCCCTTACTCTGAGCAGTTCTAAGGCCAGCCTTCATTCACCTTCAGCTAACCAAGGGTGAACGGAGGGCAGCACGAGAGTACACCTCACCCCAAGCCAAGCAGACCTCCCAGCTCCCAGCTTGCCCTCGGCCAGAGGCACCTGCTCACCCACCTGCCCCCTTTGCTTGTTATTCCCCAGTCCCTTGAAGGCTGAGATTTCTTATTTATAGCAACACCCAGAATAAGGAGGTGCCGCCTTGTTTCTGATGCTGAGAGCAAATTGGGTGGTTTTTTTCTGCTTTTCTGTGGAAGTTAATTATATTTACTGGTGGGGATAAACACTTCTTAAATTATATGTTGTAACTCAGCATTTTCCTGGTTTTTTTTTCCTCTTTGTTTTAGAGTTATTTCTCCAGAGGTGGAGCAATGTTCATTGGGATGATCATTAGCCCATATAATCGAAACAATCCTTTACCATATTCCCAAATTACCTGCCTGGTTATAAGTGATGAAATTAGTTCAAATGGTTCTTACCGTAAGTATCAGATGAGAACTCCCTCTTATTTCATATCCTCAGTCCTTGGAATTTTAAAAGCAGAAGAATTGACTGATAAGGAATTTTTGCCCCCAAGGAAGTTTTTATGGTATGGACAGAGGTTCCGCAACTCACAGACAACCCAGACTTAGAGATGGCTGTCCATCCCCCTCCCCCACATACACACACGCTTCCTATGGCAGCTATGAGAGAAATGTTCAGAGGTCTGAGGGGTCCCTGAATTCAGGAAGGAGAGATCTGGCTGATTCCTGGATGTGACACTGCCTGAAATTCTACCCAGGCAAGGTTATTGCTTGACATGGTTTGCCAGCATCCTCTTCTTTAAAATGCAGATCCCTGTGGGAAGCTGTTTGTCCCATGAGGCCTGGCACAAAGTAGGTGCCTAAACATATCTCCTGAATGATTTCTTAACCATGGTGGTGGCAGCGTTGGCAGCTGCTGCCTGTTGGATTCAGAGTTTGATTGTGCTGGGAGGTTGATCACAGAACACCTTGTTGGAGAGGACAGGCTGAGCCAGGACTGGGTGGTCCTATCTACTCAGAGAAAGAAAGGGGCATCAGAAATGGGAGGGGATGGTGTAGCCGAGTCGGGAAGCTTGGGGACAGATCCCAGCTCTGTTAGTGCTCCCAGGGAGCCATTGGGCAAATCTGCTGACTTCAGGCCTCATGTTCCTCCTCATCCATGATATGGCTTCAAGCTTTAAATGTATCTATTAAGATACTGGTTCTTTCCCTCATGAAGCTCAAAATTGGGTGCAGGACTAAGACGTGTACATAAATACTCCAGTGTATGACAGTCTAGGATAGTGGGGAGAGAGCAGGCCTTGGGGGCAGGAAGCCCTGGGCCTGGGTCCTGCCTCGGACACCCTCACCCCCGGGTCCAGAACCCGGCGGTCACTCTCTAAGATGCTGTTTCAGAGCAGGGAGCCAAGTGCACTGGCAGAGGGCTCATCTTCACAGCAGTGTCAAACACAGCCCTATCCAAAACCCCCAAAACGAGGTGTGGCATTATTTCATTGGAGATTACTTGGTAATTTCCAGATGACCGATTTGGTAAGTCAGGCTTTGTTTAGTCACTGACCGAAGAGGAGCGCTGGACCGACAGTCAGAAACCAGCTCTTCTCCTTGCTGCGTGACAGTGGGAAGGCCCCTCAGCTTCTCTTTCCACATCTCTGAAAAGGAGAAGTTAACCCTTGTCCTGCTGCCTCACGAGGCATCCTGGCGCTGAGGTGAGGGCAGCTTTGTCGTGGGCCTCGGGGGAGGAAGCAAGCTCTGCATTTTAGTAACATTTGAGCATTCCTTGAGAAATTAAGTGCCTTGGAAAAATAATTTTCTGTGTTTTAACTTTGAATTCTCTTCATAACTTCTTTAGTCCCTTGTGGTTAAGCACTTTGCTTATTATTAATAGGCAGGGTATGAGCCCAGGTGCTTTGTTTTTTCTGAATACTTTAGCGGATGAAAATGTTGTGTCTGGAAGGTAGTTTTCATTGGTTTACACGCTGTATTTCGCATCAGAAAAATATTTTTAATGATGTGGTTTGGCATTTTGGGGAGCTGTTGATGTTTCATAGTCATGTTCTCCCTCAACTCTGGGACCATAAATAGAGTTCATTTCTTCCTTTTCTTCCTCCTTCCTGTCTTAGTTAAAATTGAGATTCACCCAGTTGCTGCTGAATAAGCGCTTAGCAGATGAATTTCCATCACCTAAGTGGGCTTCAAAGAGTATCCTGGGCATCATGGCCTCCTCTTTCTTCCTGATTTCCCCCATGGTTTTTTGCCGTACAGAGCGCACCTGATTTTGTTTACTAAACTTTCAAGAAAAGACCTTTGAACGAAACTCCCGGTTTCAGGGCTCTTCACTTGTGTACCTCACCTGGAGAACCAAAAACTCAGAGAAATATTGCCTGGGACTGTGCTGGCCAGATTGAAGGAATAAACAAAACATTAGTTTAAGACTAATGGATGTGGGCAGCTAGGTGGCACAGTGGATAGAGCACCAGTCCTGAAGTCAGGAGGACCCGAGTTCAAATCCGGCCTGAGACCAAACACTTGACACGTACTAACTGTGTGACGTTGGGCAAGTTACTTAACCCCGATTGCCTCACTAAAAATAAAAAATTTAAAAAAAAAAAAAGACTAATGGATGAATCCTCCTTGGAGAGGCCTTCCCTTGGTCATTACTTCCCTGCTCCCCCTCCCACCCGCCCACCTCCAGTCTGTTTTGTATACATCCTGCATCTCTGATCAGGAGTAGAATGTGAGCTTCTTGAGGGCAGGGCCAGTCTTACTGTGTATCTCCAGTAGCCAGCACAGTGCCTGCCATCTATAGGCACTGAATAGATCCTTTATAATTGGCTAACTAAAAATGCGGAATTTTTTAAATAATCAGATTTAGTTATATTTGGGTTTATATATGCATATTTGTAATTGTTTTATATATAAATCTGCGTGTAATTTATCTCATAAGTATATGTACATACATATATGCATGCATGCATGCCTACTATGGAGGCCGGGCAGAGAAAGGGTTGTCTGTCTATTTGAACCCTTCCTAGACCGGAACCCATTCACTTATGGCTCATCCTTCCCCATTCCTCCTATTTTAGTATGTGAACTGACCTTCGTTCTCCAGAGAAATGTATGGCATCCTCGCCTTGAGCCTCTCTCTTTCCCTTCTGAACCTCGAAGAGGTTTTGTGTAAGAAGCCAGGAAGATGGGGTTCAGATCCCAGGTGGGATGCTCGCTGTGCTCCTCCAGGGCAAATCCCTTTGCTTCTCCAAGACTGAATTTCCCTCATCTGTAAACTGAGTTTTTGGTTGGGAAAGCCCTTGGTAAACCTTAAAGCACCACATAATGGTAACCTATTGTTATTTATTTTATATTTTGGTGAAATAGGATTTTTCAGACCTGGTCTGTTGTGTGACCGGACCCAGCCAAGCCCTGGGAAGTTGGTCAGGCTAGAGATGTAAGAGTCCTCATCTCCCTCATTGTAAATAAAGAACAATGGTTGATGGAAATTATACTGGTGTGCTTTTTCCTAGGTGTGCCTTACAAATTCGAAGTACAGCAGATGTTAGGAGAGCCTCGATGGGAACTGGTGTTTGAAAAAACAAGGTGGATGATTGAAAAATACCGGCTGTCCCTGAGGTATAGTCTCTGCCTATAGAGCTATCGTGTGTCCTCATTAAGTCATGATTTAAAGAAAGCCCAAGTTAAATGTAAAATTGGACCCATCCCACCCCAGAGCTGATGAGTTCATGTTATTTGTTTCCTTACCCTCTTTTCATATTCTTCCTACAGCAGTGTCCCTATGGATAAAATCTTTCACCGGGAGTCTGACCTGACTTGTTTGCAGAAAGTAAGCTGCCTTTTAAAAATTGGTTTCATTGTTCACAGTATCTGAAGCCATTTATCTCTGTGTGTTACCCCGTGGTGCCAAATGCTTCATGGATGAATTTGCTGTATATTTCCTTTTATTACTTCTCCCTTTCTAAAATCAATTTCCAAGAGATAATTAGAAATGTGTTTTGGTGCCCAGGCTTACATATGAGATGATGATGCCTTAGAATATACACTTGTTAGCACTCAGGGATAAACTTCTAACAGATTACCATCACATATGGTAGATAACATTTTTCTCATTTTCTTAAGCATGAAAAGCGTTGTGGTTAAATCTCAGCTTTGCATTTGATCACTTCAGCACAGGTACCTCACAATTGAATTGTAAATTGGCTCCTTCCTGTTCAGCATTTTTATCAATGACTTCCATAACATCCGTGAGTTTCCATAGAGCTGGAAGGCGTAACTAACACAATGAAATGACAGAGTCAGGACACAAAATCTTACCGGGATATAGTGATGGTCAGGGCTGATCAGGTGCCAGTCAGCATAAGATCCTGTGTGTAGGTTTAAAAAGTCAGCTTTCTATACCAGAGCAGGACGATGGACCAGTGGGTAGAAGCCAGTTTAGATAGATAGTGATAGTGGTGATATAATCAGCATTTTTGTGCACTCTAAGGTGTGCAGAGCTCTGTACCTATGTTATCACATTTGGAAAAGCTGTGTTTTATTGGCCTGAATGAGCTTGGGATCAATCAACAGGCAGCATCCGGAGATGCCCACAGAAAGGACAGTGACAGGTCGGCCTGTCCTTCACCCTGGTCAGATCCCATCCAGTCAGGGCACCGTGTCCAGTATTGGGCACCACAGTATAGAAAGGACCCTGATCAGCTGGACCAGCCCCAGGGAAGGGCAAGCACAGTTAAGATTGCCAGGTAAGACGTGGCAAAGAACACAGGTGTTAATCCTAAAGAGGTATCTTTGCGGTGGCTAGCTTGGGATCAGACTTAGCTTTATCCTGATGAGCCTCTGAAGAGAGAATCTGGCCCCCCGGACTCTGAAAATAGCCAACAGCGAGCGCTGCTCAGAACCGGAAGAGGGGCTCGTCTGGGGAGCCCAGGCAGGATGTTCAGAGGTGGCCTGGGGGAGCCCTTGCAAACCTGTGGCCTCTCAGTTTGTAATTCCTGACCCAGGTGCTTAGCGTTAGCGCAGAGAGAGGAAATGAAAGTAGCTTTGGTTTTCTGGTGCCTGTAAGTCTTTGTTCTTGTCTGAGGAGTTGAGACCAGTCAAGGCACATTGAGTTTTTTAAAGCTTCGTTTGGGATAGGGCATTCTAAATATATTTTCAACATGGTACAGAAATTATCTCGTTTGGTAGAGCTCAGTGTTGTGGGTCACATAGTCACCAAGCCACAAGAGGGGTCAGGATCACAGTTTTAGACCTGACCGGGACTCCCCCCCATGCCATCTTGTCCAGCCTTCACCTAACCAAGCGTCCCCTCCCCAACATTCCCCAAGCACTCCTCTAACCTTGGAGACCTCCTGGCAGGGCAGGGAGCCCACTCTGTGCTGGGGCTGCGGCCCCCTCTCCTGCATGGGAGCACTTGAGATGCTTGAAGACGACCCATGTTCACTTCTGCAATAAAGATAAGACTCAGGTTATCCAAACTGAGAAGTACTCACCAGCTGTTACCAAGTCATGTACCAAGAGTCAGGGGATCAGAATAAGTATAATCCGAAAAATCAGGTAACCTCCTCCTGCCTCCAGAGAAGGAAGGTCCATGTCTCTTCTTGTCCAACCATTAAGCACTGGTGGCTTTTCCACTCCATTCAAAGAGAATGGTTCTCATTTGGTGTGTCCTATCAGGGGCTTTTGGTAAAGGGCATTAAGGGGTCAAAACGTAGAAGCAAGGTTTTCATCAATAGCCAGATTCCCTTTCATTGGCAGTGGTCGGACATTCATAAAGACACAGTTGGAGCTCAGTTTGCTCATCTGTAGTCTGGGGATAATGTTGCCTGCCCTGCCTCATGCGGTGGTTGTTCATGGAAGGCTTAGAAAACAGTGACGTCCTCTTCAGATGATCTTATTTGTAGCAGTGATCTTCCCGTGATCACCTCTTGGTCCTGTGAACTTCCTGCCTTTCTGTATGTTCTTAGCCATCCCCTTCCCTAAAAAGCTGTAAAGTGTTGCTTCTGCAAGGCATTGAATGCATGCATTCTGTAATGCCCTAACAGTGAACGGTTTCTTTTAAACCAGCTCTTGGCGTGTCTAAAGAAGACTTTGGGCAAAGTGACCAACTGCCATGTTGCTGAGGAATTCTTGATTCAGATAGAGAAGTTGTTCCTTTCCTGTTACAGCAGCAAACCAGCGAAGGGCACAGCAGGAGAGGGCTGCCCCGTGGGCCCACCGCAGCTGTCACTGTGATCGTTTTATAACGGGACGTTCTCATTTTCAAGGTGAAATGGCATTTGTGAAAATCCACCTGCAAAGTTTTACAATTACCCTATCTACTGTTGTGGCAGCAACGGCGGCTGTACCACCACTGTTTTATCTAGTCAAGACCTCCAGATTGCAGCATGCAAATCAGTCACATAAGCTCACGTGCAGTCAGAGCGCTTGGGGCTCTCACCTAGAGGACACTCACCAAAGGGTGGCTGAAAGGTGTGTCTGGCCAGCGAGGCTGGTGCTGTGGGAAGATCTTCACTGTTTTCCCCCAGCCGCCATCGTTCTTTCCATTCGATCTCATGAAGTTTTTGTTTGTGTGTTTATTTTGTTCCCAGAAAGGAAGGGGGGGCAGGTAGGTGGTAGGATGGAAGATAGATGGGCAGCAGATAAAAGCCCTTCTGCATAAGGGTGTGGAACGCACGCGTACGCGTGTGTGTGTGTGTGTGCGCGCGTGTGCGCATGCGAGTGCCTTTTTCGCCTTAGAGACTGAAAGAAATCCAGAGCCAAAGGTCTAGTCCACGTGTAGCCGCTTGCTGTTAGAATAAAGGGAAAACTGAGGAGCGTCGAGTCAAGCTGGTCCCTTGGCTGCAGAAGACTCTCCACGTTCATGATTTCACCTTCATTAAAAATCTTTTTACTGTGGGCTGTGTCACTTAGCAACCTTAAGACCTTTTCCCTGTTGCTTCTAAGCCAGAGGCAAAAGACCAAAGAGGGTACTGAGGTCTGGAATTCCATGATTTCTTTTTGCTTGGTTTTATTTGAATTCCAGGGTCCGTTCTAAGGTCCGTCAGTGTTTGGGAAAGACTCTCCTCATCTGCGGTGGGGATTGATCACCCATCTAAAGGAAAATCCCTGCAAGGCACTCAATCGGATGAACCAATTATAATATTTACCAAGGCATAAATTCTGATTAGTTAATTGATTGAAATGAGGGCATTCTGTTTAATCCTCAGTTGCAAAGAAAATTTGATTAATTCCACTCCTCCTGGCCTCCTTTCTCCTCCCCAGCATCCTAATTAATAATCAATCAACAAGTATTTACCAGGTGCCGTGCTAGGTATTCTGGCTTCACATGTGATTGTGACATAGTAACTGCCCTGTATTTTTTAGGGGACCGTGGCATGTTTAATGATAACATATGAGAAGTGAACAATTAAGCCTGGGGGAGATCGGAATGTAGAGTGTGTGAGGGGTAGTGATGTGCAATCAGCCTTGAAGGGTAGACTGGATCAGATGGTGAAGGCATTAAAGCCCAATGAAGGCGTTTGTTTTGTCCTGAGGTCAGTAGGGGAGCCCCTGAAGCTTCTCGATCAGAGGAGTGACCTGATCATATCCCTGCTTCAGGAGTATGACTTTGGCAGCAACATGGAAGATGTGTTAGTTAGTGAGGGGAGAGATTGGCAGCATACAGGGAGACCCTGGAGGAGATTGTACTGCCCACATAAGAGAGGATGAGAGCCTGGGCTGGGCCATGAATAGAGCTACGTAATTGAGGGTTTTTCCCTAAACTTGATTCTGGTAACATGGAATTGAGCTTATTCTTGACAGTGCAATATGCAAACTCACCAAATTGGGGCACATCACCACCTTTCTGGGCCTCAGTTTCTTTCCCCATACAGTGAGGGGTTTGGATTAGAAGCTCTCTAAGGGCCTAAAGCAGTAACATCTACTCTAACTTACCAGTATGTTGTGAAGTAGTACCAGGACAGTTTTTAAATGGAATGTGTCCTATTCCCCATCTTCCCCCCTACCCTCCAAAAAAATCACTGCAGGACCATAAGGCGTTGCACCAGTGAATCAGTGAGCAGATGAAACTTGTAGATCGTGTATGTCCCAAAGCCGTGGGACTGACCTAGACTGTCCCCTCTGTGTGGAAGGTTATAGCTGGCTGTGAGGTCATCAGGGAAGGTCTGTCCTCTTCTCATGGCTGTGACCCTTCCAGTTCTGTTTTAGAAAACAAGAGAAAGGCCTAACTGGGCATTTTTAGGCAGCTGCTCTCTCAGATAGACTTCCTTGCCTGATAAAGCTCTCGTTTCATGAATAATATCTACAGGCCTACTGGTGGGGCAGTGTGTTTCAACTATGCAGTTAACTAAAATGAATTTAGAGCTTACTGAATTGTGTGTGATGTAGAAGCTTTCTTTGTCATCCTGTGTGTATCGCATGGTTGTTGATTCTTCTGCCACTCCTTTCCCAAATGCTCTCAGCATCCTCAAAAAGGAGACCTCCATTCAGGCCACTCATTTTATACACAGAGCAAAGCTGTGCTGTGCAGACCTGTACTGTATGTAGACAGCATCTATTGGTAGAAATATGCAAGGTCATCAACAGGATGAGCGGACTTCCTGTCCTTTGTAACCTACTGTATAATATACTAAAGACTCAGTGATGTCCCTGGTGGGTTGCCTTGTTCAAGAGATGAAAGGAAAATCTCCCTAAAGATGGAAGATGAATAAAAAGATGGAAAACCAAACTTGGCTTTTTTTTTTCTTTAGTTCGACAGGCATTTAGTAAACACCTGCTGTGTGTTTACTTGTACCAGGAGCTAGGAGTAAAAAAGAGTTCCTCACGCCCAAGGGAAAAGCACATGCATCTATCCAGCAATACAAAGTAATTTTGTGGGAAGAGGAGGCACTAATAGTGAGGGTATCTGAAAACGCCTCCTTTTAGAGGCCAGAAATGACGTGCTGTGTAGGGTAGAACAAGTAGGCCCAGATGCCTAGACCGTGGAATTCCGGGGATGAGTGATGTAGAATCCACCTAGAAAAATCATGTAGGACCTTAAATGCCAAACAGAAGTGACTGTGTTATCCTGGCCTTGGTTTGAAATCCTGAGGAAGGAACCCCACTCTGCTAGCAGGTGCCCAACATCTGCATCTGTCATTGTGAGATCCGGAAATGGGACCTTGCAAAGCAGCAACTCCGTGCAAAAGGGAAGGGTGGCCTGTTGAGCACTGCGTGTCTGCAGCATCGAATTGGGCCAGGGGGGGGGGGGGGTGTATGTCTGCTTACAGTCATCATGGGAAGGAGGGAGCTCCAACTTGGGTGGCCTGAAGACATCCGTCCTGGGAATCTGAGCTGGGCTGGGTCAGGCACTACTTGTAACCCTAGAAATGGCTCCTTGTGAGGCTGGTGGCTGGCGCCACCTAGTGTCTCAGTAGGTGACCTTGTGGTGATGAGCCTTTCCAGAAGCTGGCCTTCAGAGAACACTGGGCCTCTACTTAGGGAGGACCCCAGGGCTCCTCGGGTCGGAATGGAGGCTCTGGAGTTGTTCTTATTCAATGAGGTTGACATTGTTATGAATTTATTCCTGCTGGCAAATGAATCACTGCTGTGGCCCATTGTTAATTAAGCAGTCAGTTCCTAATCATTCTGCACAAGCTGATTCAGTTTCCCAATCAGTAAAGAGAAACTATACTGTAGTTCAGCCAATATCTACTGGGACCTCTTCCCATGACTGTGTCCCAGAATGCTTTTCTCTCACAAAATAATATTTCTGTACTTGGGATCAGAAGACTAAACAGATAACCCATTGATAATGAACCAAGAGACCTCTCAAGACGACCCATTATGGAGTCAAATCTGAACTCAGCCTAATATGGCTGCCATGTACTCTTCTAGGCTTATTCCCTATCAATCCCACTTGAGGAAGGGAAAATGGCCCTCAAACCCTCCACACCTTCCTTACCTATCCATCTGCTTTCACTCTTTCCAATGTCTAGGAGGCTACCTTGTGCCCAATGTCCTCTTGAAATTCTACCTTTCCTTGGAGGTCTTTAAGCAAAGACTGGTTGGCAACCTATCTGGTATATTATAGTAGGATTTCTTTTGGGGTATCCATAGATTGAACGAGATGGCCACAGAAGACTCATCCAATTCCAGGCCTGGCTGAAATGCCACTTCCAATAAGAGTTCCCTGATCACTTCCCTGCCTTCTTCCTCCTAGTAACTTATGTATAATTCCCATTCTCTCATTTGTTTATATGGATCTCTCTCCTAGACCACACAATTTCTGAGCATCCAGTTTATCATGGCATCCCTATCAGTGCCTAGCACAGGGCTAAGCATATAATGAGCACGTTAATATTGAATATAAACAACAGCACAAAAAAATTTCCAAAATCATTTTAAGACAGCTGGTTTCCACACTGAAAAATCAAGGAATTTAATTAATTTTGTCTCTGATGCCTTGCTAGCTGGCTTCTGTCCGCCCCAAAGTGATGTTTTTTTGCTTCAAAATCTCTCATGCCTTGAGGGGAACAGGATTTCTGAGCCAGAAGTTAAAAAGTCCATGCTGTGAATTCTTTTTTTTTTTTCCTTTTGCTTAGGCAGTTAGGGTTAAGTGACTTGCCCAGGGTCACACAGCTATTAAGTGTCATTGGTCTGAGGCTGGGTTTGTATGCTGGGCCAGTATGGAGACAGGAGATTAAGCATTGTTTATGGGAAACAACTAAGCAGTTGGACTGGAGAGTGTATAAAGAAGAATAATAGGAAATTAGACCTGGAAGACATATTATGTAAAACTTTAAATGCCAGGCTGAGGATTTTGTATTTTTATCCCAGAGATGTGGAAATTTTCCATTTGAGTTGGTGATATTCAGATCTAGAGGGGTCACAGTGTGATGATAAGAGCAAATTGGACCTTGTCATTAGCTTTGTGACCTTGAGCAAGACATTGAACTACAGTTTTTTCAGCTGTAAAAGGAGATATTCTACAGCTAGAGTGGTGAGAGTGGAATGAACTCTTACCCAAAGTCATATCCCTTCTCTGGACCTCAGTTTCCTCTTCAGTCACAAATGAAAGCTTTGGACTATAATCTGAAAAATCCCTTCTAGCTCGAAAGTGATGCTACATGCCGTGTTATTTATGTATTTCAACCTGAAACGTAATTTTGTCTTTGTCATGGAATTCCTTGAGCTTTGAAGTTTGTTATTTATGGAAACATTGAGTAAATTGAGAATGGACGTTAATAAAATTAATACGGCAAAGGCCAAAGTTGCCTTCACCCAAGATGAATGAATCGCAAGACGTTCACTGTGAAAGGGCAGATGAGGATGTAGTGAAAAGAAGATTTCAAGTCAGCAGAACTGGGTTTGAATTCCATCCCTATGACTACTTGTGTGACTTTGGGCATGCCACTTACTCATGGGGCCTCAGTTTCCCACTCTGTAACATGGAGTCGGACTATATCATCTCTAAAGTCTCTTCCCACAGTAATACTCCATGTTCTAAGATCTCTTCAAATTCTAATGTAGGCCCCTTTCAGTTCTAAATCCTATACGAGTTTAAATGCCTTATGTATTCTAGAATTTTAATGAAAATAGTAGGGCTCACTCGGAGACCCAGTTAAAACCACTAGAGGGCACTCTGTTATAGTGAGTGATTTAAGAGACCATTCGCGGCCCTTGAGCTTGTGGGCTGGTGTAAATGAACCCTGGTGGGACAGCACATGTTGCTGAAAGCTAACCTTTCTTGGCAAGCATTCACCTGAGCCCATGACTGATGCCCAGTTGACCTAGTCTAACCTTGGTCAAAGGAATTCAGTAATCCTTAGAAATAGCCAATGATATCAGCCTTGGGTTCAGTTTGATTCAGTAAGAATTTGTTAAGTTCCTACGACTTGATGGGCATTTTACTGGATGCCGGGAGACACATAGGCAAAGGCCTGCCCTCCACGAGCTTCAATTCCCCTGCATGTACTTGTTTCTTGTTGTAATGGATAGCATAGTGTGTGTCTCTCCCAGTTGAAATTGAGTTTACTTAAAAAAAAAAAAAAAGAAATTGAGTTTACTTGCCCCAGAATTCACATAGAACTTTGTGCTTCTCATATGTTACACTGAACCTTATGGGCTGAACCCAAGTTTTCATCTGTGTAGATGTTTCAGTCTCTCAGTGAGAAACTCCCTCCACCAGTGACTCTGTGCTTGTCCCCTGATCTACAGATCTAGAGTTGCCTATGGCAATAAGGAGTCAATTGACTTGCCCACGGTCAAACAGCGAGAGTGTGCCAGAGATAGGACTTGAACCAGTCCTTCCTGTCTCTGAGCTCAGCTTTCTACCCACTATACCACACCATCTCTCCTCTTATGATTGTGGGATAAGGGACTGCCCCTGTGAGTTCAGTGGTATAGGACCTATTACAGAAGGAAGTTCCCTCTACCAGTGCAGGTCAGGCCTTCTTGGAAAACTGGAGTCTTTGAGACTTGCTTAGGGCACTAAGAGGTCAAGTCCAGTATTCATACGCCAGCATGAATCAGAGGAAGGACTTAACCTAGCTCTTCCTGGCTTTAAGATTGGCTCTCTAGCTGCTACGCCATGATGCAGCTCACTTACAATTATGCAGCCCCAATTTTACAGATAAGGGAAAGTGAGTCCCAGAGCAGTGGAGGAACTTAGTGTCAAACCTAGGTGTCCTGCCTCCTGATCCAACTCTCTTCCCATGACGCCATGTTGCCTGCCCATCACTTACCAAGTGCTCCGTTATATTATGGTTATTTGTGGATGGCTGGACTCTAGGAGACAGTCAGATCTATCAGAACAGGGCCCCTGTCGCCTTTCATTTTTAAATTCCTCTCAGCACCTGGAGCTTCATCTGCTTAATAAGCATCTGTTCAGTTGACTCTTTAACACAATGGCCAGTTGTACGATGAGCCAGTGCTGCTCAGCACAATAGAGAAACTAAACGCCCACATTCAGATAGTGCTTTAAGGTTCTTAAAAAAATGCGTACTTTCACTGTATGCATGTAACATACTTCACAAGCCTAAAAACGATAGATGTCAATTCTTATTATCTCAGAGTCAGCTTGGCACAGTAGAAAGAATGCCTGATATGGAGTCAGAGGATACGGGTTCCAATTTTGGTACTGCATGACCTCAAGGCAAGTCACAACCTCTCTGAAACTCTATTTCCTCATCTTTTTAAAACAAAAACAAAAAACAAAACAAAACAAAAAACCAAGCATTTACTATGTATCAGACACTGTCCTAAGTATTTTTGCAAATAATATCTCATTTCATCCTTAACCCTGTGAGGTAGATGCTATTATTATCCATATCTTACAGCACTTAGCACATCCCTGGTATACAGTAGGTTCTTGATAAATGTTAATTGGTTGATTATTGGTAGATGAAAAAATGGAGGCAGATAGAGGTTAAGTGATTTTCCCAGGGTCACATAGTTACTAAATGACTGAGGTCAAATTTGAACTTGAATCTTCCTGACTCCAAGTCCAAGGCTTTATCCACTGGACAACCCAGCTGCTTTTGTAAAATGGTGGCTTAGAGGAGGGGGCAGAGAGGGCAGTGGACAAGATGACCTTTAAGGTCCTTTCCAGCTCCTATCATCCTTCATCCTACTATGCTTCCAATAATTCTTCTAGGCAAGTACGTAAGAGATGAGGAGGCTGCATCGCAGTTGGTTATGTCTTTCCTGTGGTCATGCCCCAGGTAGTGGCCAGAGCCTTCCCTCTGC